GAATCAGCTTTGCCGTCCATCTTCCTCTTAAATCGGAGTTCCACCGTTGTTGCCAGATCTGAAAAGTTTGTTCTCTTATATCTTGAAGGTCTGTTGAGTTGCTTGTCGATCTCTGTTTCCAGCGTTTCTTCCGTTCATGTGCCTGAAGGTCGATAGGGATGATTCCACTAATCACCAGAACTGCAGGCTCGGATACGGTTCGATATGCAGAAGCTACCCGAAGTGCAGCAGTCCGCTGTACAGCTGCGTAAACTTTCCTCCTACATTCAACCTTTAAGGCGTTTGCCCAAATCTCGCACCCGTAAAGTAATATTTGATTTGTGGTCGCCATAAGTAATTTTCTTTTACTCTGGGTAGGACCTCTCACGTTAGCCATCAGTCTTCCTAGCATCGTAACAACTTTGCTTGCTTTTGCCGCTGCTTGTTTTATTTGAGCCCAATAAGACAACTTAGAGTCTAGTTTCACCCCCAAGTATTTGATCTCCTTTTTCGTATATATGGTGCTGTCGCAAACGAGCATTCCAATTTCCAACGGTATATTACGTTTAGTGAGTACCAGCAATTCAGTCTTTTCGGTGGCGAGTTTAAGACCGTGTGCATTTAGCCAATTTTGCACTTGTATCATCACCATGTTGAGCTTCCGCTGAGCGTTTTCCGTATTTCTTGCCGTAATTACTGCTGCAATATCATCTGCGAAAGCAACGAGGTGTGTGTCATCAGGCATCTTGGATTGCAGGATTCCATCATATACCACGTTCCACAAATCGGGGCCCAAAATAGATCCTTGTGCTACACCTGAGTTGATACATTTTTCTCTTTGTCCTTCCTGAGTATCATAGACAAGTAGGCGATCTTTCAAGTAGCTGCGGATCATCTTCATTAAATACGGGGCAATTCTGAATTTAGTACCTAGAGATTTTAGAATACTTTTCCACTCTACGCTGTTGAAGGCATTTCGAACATCAAGTGTTGCGAGAAGCACTATCCTCCGCGAGTAATGGTTTCCCGTTTGTGCAGTTTCTACTGTATTTACTATGTCTTCTATAGCTCCTAGTGTTGATCTGCCATTTCTGAAGCCATGTTGTCTACTTAAGAGGCCGCCGGCGTCGTTTATCGCCGCAGCGAGTCTTGGTTTTAGTAATTTTTCAAGCAGTTTACCCGCGGTGTCTAGTAAACAAAGTGGCCGATATGCTTCTGCTAGCTCAGGGTTTCCTTTTCCTTTGCTTATCAGAGTAAGCTTCTGTTTCTTCCATGCTTCCGGAAAGACTCCGTTAACTAGACATATGTTGTACATGTCCAATAATATTCTTGATCGGTCTTTTGCTAAAATTTTTAGAACTTCAAAAGGAATCCCATCCGGCCCTGGAGCTCTATTATTTTTTAATGAGTTCACTGCTTTTATTAATTCTTGCTCTGTAAATTGCGGTGAGCTTTCCTCTATATGCAACTCTTCATTGTCCTGTAGTGGAACATGTGTCGGAAAGAGTGAATCAACTATATTTTTCATTCTATGTGATTCGAAAATAGGGGGCGGTTGTCTAGACCCCAACTTTTTTAACACGATTTGGTACCCCAGCCCCCAAGGATTATTGTTTATATCATTTCGGAGCTCTTCCCACTTTCGTTTTTTGCTTTTAGCTATTTCCAACTTTAATGTCTTCCTGGCGAGTTTATATTCAGCTGTTTCTGCTTCTGCCAAATTTCTTCTTCGGGTCCTGGAAAGTCTTCGCCTACATTGAAGGCAATTTCTTCTTAATTGAGCAATGTCCTCTGTCCACCAATAGGTAGCTTTTCTGTGAGTTCTCGTTCCAATTTTTGGCATTGATGCGTTGCAAGCTTTTGTTATGATTTGCATAGTTTGCGTTACTCGTGTTCTTGCATCATTTGCGAATTGAGTTTCTAAGGTGCTTCTGTCGAGAGTGGTGAGAAAATTTGTGATATTTAGCTGCTCGAGCTTCCATTTTCGTGTTCCTCGTCGTATATCACTCGATACTTGCGTATTACTAATCTCAAAATCGTATTTTATATATTGATGATCGCTGCCGGTGTATTCTTCAAGTACTTTCCAGTTCTTGATTGCACCTGCAAATCTGTCTGAAACTAAAGTAATATCGGGAATTGTGCCTTCACATCCGGGTCTTCTGAAAGTTGCGGTGTTGCCAGTGTTTGCTATTGCCAGTCCTAATCTAGCTGCCATGTCCAGAACGCGTCTACCTCGAGAGTTTGTCGAAGATGAACCCCATTCTATTGCCCTTGCGTTGAAGTCGCCTGCAATAATTACTGGTCCTTCAAACTCTTTGGCTGTATCCTCAATATTATTGAGTTTTAATTGAAATTCGTCTATGAGGTCGTTTGGCGACAAGTAGCAACTCATTATTGTGCAGTCTTGAGTTTTAATCCACACGTAACTATTTTCGGCACCACTGTTTGTTGTAATAATAGAACCGTTCGGCGGTAGCCAGAGGGCTGCTGTACCAGTGGTATCTTCGAACCAGTTTCCTGTGGGTATTTTTCTGTATTGCTCACTGATAATCACTACTTTTGTATTTTTTTCAAGTACTATTTGCGATAGAAGACCATCTGCCGTTTTACTTCGATGCATGTTTCCTTGAAGAATTGTCATCTTTTATTAATAAGCGATTTCCTAGATTTAACGCATCTTCCTGTTCCTGGTAAGTGATCGAATGTTGTAAGTCCTTCCTTCAAACATAGGCAGCACTTTGGCGGGTTGGTACAATCTCGCATTTTGTGGCCATTTTCTCCGCATCGGATGCAAAGTCCTTTTCTGTCGGGCCCTTTGCAGTTATGCTGAAGGTGTCCAATATCAAAGCATTTGAAACATCTCTTCGTTTCCTCGAGTGGTTTCATTCTACACCTGACAAGACCTACTCGAATACGGTCTTCTTTGAGCAACTTTTTCGCTGATTCCGCAGAGATGGATATGTATGCTCTTCGTTGTTCTCTGGAATTTGCGCCAGATATTCTAACGTTTATTTCCTCCAGAGGACTTTGAAGCTGGTTTCTTACTGCTGTTATGACTTCGTCCTCGCTTGTAAGACTATCCAAGTCACGAATCTCTATTTTCATATATGCTTTTAGTTCAGTAACTGTTACTGCTTCTCCCATTTTCACTTTGATCTCTGTGCAGAAGTCGTCTCTCTTTCCTCCTTTTTCGAGCTCCAGGAGTACCGCTCCACTGTTTGTTTTCCGAACCGATCGAATTGCTATATCGGCGGTTTCCGGCTTAACTTTTGTTCGCAATTCCTTTAAAATATCTGCGTAGGTGTGACCTTCTGTGGGCCGAACAAGAACGGCTTCTCGTTTTAAACGAGGTCTATTTCTGTCTCGCTTTTGTTTCTCCTTATCCATTTGTTTGTTCCCGTTGGAGTCCTGCGTTTTTGCTTTTCTTCTTGAGACTGTCTGCCACTTTTCCGCTTCTATTCTTTTAGAGGCCTCTGGGGTTGGGACCTCCTTTTCTAATAGAAGTTTCTTGCCACTTCTTTTAGCAGCTGGGCTTGTCGCAGTTCGCTTTGGTCGAACTGCAACAAGTGCAGCCGGTTGTATTGTTTCAGCTGTAAGAGCGCCTTGGCTTGTTTTTTCAGCAGTCATGCGTTTTTCCTCTGCGCTCCAGTTGTGACGATAGCTGTCTGCTATCTCTAGTAATTCCCAAAGTTCAGATATGCCGTCTCTGATCTCTAGCGAAATGTTTCGTTGTCTCTGCGCAACTTGTTTCATCCTGTCTATAATGGTTTTGCATTTATTTAACGTCACTGTTTCTTCTGCTCTCATTTTCTGAATGTATTCACACCTAGGTGAGCTGGATGCTATCGCTGGTGCTCTAGATATATCTGGTGTGCCTAAAGTTTTTGAATTGCTCGAGCTTGTGGCAATCTTTTGTATAGGCTTTTCGCAGTTTTGCGAGGTCGCGGGTGATCGCTGTATTTTATTACTCCTCTTAAAACCTGTCGGAGTATCACTTTGTTTCCTTTCTTCTTCGTTTGTTTGTTTATTATTCATTTTATTTTATGGGTCCCCACTTAGAACCGCTATCTTAATGAGTTGTGCAGTTACCTTTTTAATGATTCCATGGTTATCTATGCTATGCAGGGAGGCCATGCGAGGGTTGACTATTGCACCTTATGAATGCAAAAGCCAGAGCCAAATCAGGAGCTGAACAGAGCGTTGCTAGCTGCCCCTGCACGCCAATTTAATGGGACTCAACTAAGAACGTATTCTAAGGCCTGCCAAGGTTTTAACGGGACGGAGGTGACTACGGCATTAGCCTGGAAGCCATTTCCACAAGGTGTCACCCTTGTGTAATCAGGTAACAGAATACCGTAGTCGCCAGCCCATGGCAAAACTTTTCCAAATATAATTTAAAATCATAGTCCATTATTCATTGCGTAGTCCATTTTAACTGTGAATTTTCCGGCAGCCGCCCCTGACATGGGGTACAGACGCTGCCAACTTCTTTCTCCCACGTTGGTGCTGCAGCCGCTCCTAACATGGAGATCAGACGCTAACACTTCTTTGTCCCTCGATGGCGCGTCAGCCGCTACAGCGAAGAAGCACACTGCGCGCTTGTGTCTCCCTCGTTGCCATCCCGGGATGGTGGACGCTTACTTTGAGCCGGCGCCTGCTCGGCTCAGC